CATGATTCCAGTTAAATGGAATGTCCAGAACAGGCAAATCCATAGAGATTGAAAGTAAAATGGGAGGTTGCCAAGGGTTGGGGGGAGCAGGGAATGGCGAGTGACTATTAACAGGCACTAGATTTCTGTTTGGGATGATGAAAGTGTTCTGGAATTAGACAGCAGTGATAGTTGTACAACACTGTGAAGGTACTAAATGCCACTTAATTGTACACTTTAAGATGGTTAATTTTATGTTATATAAATTGCTCTTGAATAAAAACACTTAAAATATGTTTTGGCAATTGCCTAACTTCTTAGGTTAAATTTTTTTAAGATGAATTTTTAAATGCTCCTATTTTCATGCAAGAGCTGAGATAAGCAGTCAGCACAATGACTTTTTTTTACAGTTTTATTTATTTATTTATCACTTTACAATATTGTATTGGTTTTGCCATACATTGACATGAATCCACCATGGGTGTACATGTGTTCCCCATCCTGAACCCCCCTCCCACTTCCCTCCCCATCCCATCCCTCTGGGTCATCCCAGTGCACCAGCCCCGAGCACCCTGTATCATGCATTGAACCTGGACTGGCGATTCGTTTCACATATGATAATTTACATGTTTCAATGCCATTCTCCCATATTATCCTGCTCTTGCCCTCTCCCACAGAGTCCAAAAGACTGTTCTATACATCTGTGTCTCTTTTGCTGTCTTGCATACAGGGTTATCATTACCATCTTTATGTGTATATTTCTAAATTCCACATATATCGATTTGTCTGCCAATGGACATTTAGGTTGCCTCCATGTCCTAGCTATTGTAAACAGTAAACAGTATCGTAAACAGTCCTGCAATGAACAGTGGGATACATGTGTCTCTTTCAATTCTGGTTTCCTCAGTGTATATGCCCAGCAGTGGAATGGCTGGGTCATATGGCAGTTCTATTTCCAGTTTTTTAAGGAATCTCCATACTGTTCTCATAGTAGCTGTACTTGTTTGCATTCCCACCAACAGTGCAAGAGGGTACCCTTTTCTCCACACCCTGTCCAGCATTTATCATTTGTAGGCTTTTTGAAAATACCGACCGGTGTGAGATGGTACCTCATAGTCGTTTTGATTTGCATTTCTCTGATAATGAGTGATGTTGAGTAACTTTTCATATGTTTGTTAGCCATCTGTATGCCTTCTTTGGAGAAATGTCTGTTTAGTTCTTTGGCCCCCTTTTTGATTCAGTCATTTATTTTTCTGGTATTGAGCTGCATGAGCTCCTTGTGTATTTTTGAGATTAATTCTTTGTCAGTTCCTTCATTCGCTATTATTTTCTCCCATTCTTAAGGCTGCCTTTTCACCTTGCTTATAATTTCCTTCATTGTTTAAAAGCTTTAAGTTTAATTAGGTCCCATTTGTTTGTTTTTGTTTTTATTTCCATTACTCTGGGAGGTGGGTCATAGAGGATCTTGCTATTATTTGTGTCAGAGAGTGTTCTGCCTATGTTTTCCTCTAAGAGTTTTATAGTTTCTGGCCTTACATTTATTTGGACCTTTAATCTTTGCATTTTGAGCTTATTTTTGTGTATAGTGAACACAATTTTAACAGTCCCATGGACCACCCAAAGCTGACCCATTGACTATTCATGGGCTCCAACTGAAGAGCCCTTCTTTTAAATAGTTGAAGGGATTGCCTGTGGGAAAGGAATTGGCCTAGTATTATCAATTTTCATTAGACAGTCTGGATTCAAGTCTTCTCAATTAGCTGAGTTTTAGATTTCCAATTGGTGATATGAAGATATATAACGCCTGTTTTATCAATTTATATAGCTGTTTTAAGTTAAATGAGATGGTGCTTTCTTAGTTAATATCACTATCTAATCTTTTAAGCAAATAAAGCCACAGGGAGATAAATATGGCTTGGTTGAAGAACTTTTGATAATTGTAGTTTTCCTTAGCAAAATGGATTACTTGGTGAGGTAGTGGTTCATAAAACTATTCAAGCAGGATCTGAATGACATCTTGCCCATAATCGTATGGGGAGTGTTGGACTAGATGATCTCTAAAACCTTGCCCCATCTATGGTCTTTACCAGAGCATAGCTACATGCAAATTTGTAAGGTTAGATGGAGAAGTAATATGTGCTCATGCTCAGTCACTAAGTCATGTCTGACTCTTTGTGATCCAATGGACTGTACCCCACCAGGCTTCTCTGTCCATGGGATTTCCCAGGCCAGAATACTGGAGTGGGTTGCCATTTCCTTCTCCAGGGTTGTCTTCCTGACCCAGGCATTGAACCCCATGTCTTCCACACTGGCAGGTGGATTCTTTACTACTAAGCCACCTGGGAAGCCCAACGTGTGGTGAAGTGAAGTGAAGTGGCTCAGTCGTGTCTGACTCTTTGCCACCCCATGGACTATAGCCTACCAGGCTCCTCCATCCATGGAATTTTCCAGGCAAAAATACTGGAGTGGGTTGCCATTTCCTTCTCCAAGCACAATGACTTTTATGTCTGCTGAGAGATCATGCTATGCTAAGTTGCTCAGTCATGTCCCACTCTTTTGGGACCCCCATGAGCTGTAGCCCACCAGGCTCCTCTGTCCATGGGATTTCCCAGGCAAGAATACTGGAGTGGGTAGCCATTCCCTTCTCCAGGGCATCTTCCCGACACAGGGATCAAACCCATGTCTCTTCTGTCTCCTGCATGGGCAGGTGGGTTCTTTACCATTAGTGCCACCTGGGAAGCCCATGGAGCATATTCCAAGGTTTAAAATCCCTTTGCTTATTAACAGTCGTAGGGATACACAAAATAGATGGTCAGGCCCAAGGTGGCTGGAAACACATGGCCCCACAAGGCAGTATCATGTTGGGTATCCTGGTCAACTTTGAATAGTGTCTTCCTGGGTCTTAGGTTTTCTCTCAGATGTGGGCATGGACAGCACTTCTCAGTGGATGGGCAGAGATGACCCCTGCAGTGGCTCCCATTCTGCATATCCTCCTGCAATACACCTGGACCACTCCTACTCCCAACAAGAGGCAGAGTCTCTTTCCCCTTCTCCTGACCAGGCCTGGCCCTGCTACTTTCTTTGACTAAAAGACTGTGGCAGAAGTGATACAGGGTGGCTCCCGGGCCTAAGTAGAAGAAGCTTCACAGTTTCTGTACTTACCCTCTTGGGATCCAGTCCCATGGGAAAAAAAAAAATTTGGGCTATTTTGCTTGAGAGACCCCAGAGAGAAAGACCCTGGAGGATGAGATGCCACGTGGAAGAGAATAATAAAACCCAGCTCAGCCAGCACCAACTGCCAGACATGGGACTGAGGCCATCTAGAATGCTTGGGCCTCCTTGGCTATGCACCCAGCTGAATCAAGTCACAAGAGGGACCCCAACCAATACCATGTGGATGAAAGAACACCCCCCAGAGCTCAGCCAATACATCGACTCAGAAATAACAAATCACAGTGATTTCAGGGTGGCTCGGTAAGCAACACTAGAGAGCAGATAACACCTGAGATCTAGCCCAAATCATCCAATGTATGTAAACTCCTGAGAACAATCAGAAACCACGTGAAGAACCCATGTCAAGTGGGAGGGGACAAAACCTCAAGATAGCTAGGATCAACCCTGACCAGAAGCAGATCACTTCCTGAGGTGGGCTGCTGGCCAAAGACCCATGAGCAAGATGTAATTATCAGAAACAATCAGGGAACAACTGAAACTGATGAGGAAGAACCAGTTGTCATGATCTGTCCTGGCATTTGGGGTGATTATCCTTAGTGTCTCTTTTGCTAATAGTCACACACTGAAACCTTTTCTTCTCACTCTCTTTCTCAATTTAAGAGGTTACATCTGTGCAGATTGTACTTCACAGCCCACTGACATCAGGATCACGTTTGATTTCCCTGATGTCACCATGTGAACAGGAAGTACTACCATGGAGAAAATGCTCCAGGAAACCCAGAAATGATAACTACAGAACCAGGTGCTGATTCACTGGATCCCATATGGATTCAAAAGCCCACAACTGTATTTTGATAGAGAAATTGGTCTTTTGATAGTGTAAAAACCTTGACTTTTATTCATTTATATCTCTTACCCTTCTGACCCTGGACCCCTGCCTAAAGACATATCCTTCTCATATGCAAAATATTATTTATTTCATCCTGACAGCTCCCAAAGTCTTAACTGGTCCCAGCGCTGACTCAAAAGTCTAGAGTCCAAAAGTGAAGTGAAGTGAAAGTCACTCAGTCATGTCCGACTCTTTGTAACCCCATGGACTGTATAGTCCATGGAATTCTTCAGGCCTGAACACTGGAGTGGGTAGCCTTTCCCTTCTCCAAGGGATCGTCCCAGCCCTGGGATCGATCCCAGGTCTCCCACATTGCAGGCAAATCCTTTACCAACTGAGCCACAGAGGAAGCCCAAGAATACTGGAGTGGGTAGCCTTTCCCTTCTCCAGAAGATCTTCCCGACCCAGGAATCAAACTGGGGTCTCCTGAATTGCAGGTGGATTCTTTACCAACTGAGCTACCAAAGCCACATGTAAATAGCATCTAAATGAGCTGTGTGTCAGACTCGACATCCAATTCGTCCTGAGGCAAACTCCTCTCCAGCTGGAAACTGCTAAAGGAAGCAAGTTCTGTGCTTCCAAAATACAACCACAGGACAGGGAGAGGCTGAACACTGCCATTTCGAAAGGGAGAAATCAGAAAGAAAGAGCCGACAGGTCAAGAAGGTCTGGCAAAACATCAAACGCAACGGCTCGAGTATCAGCTTCTTGACCCCAGTGCTCTGCTCACCAGATCCAGCTGAGTGGGAGCCCAGCCTTCTGGACATGCTGCAGGGTCCCTGTCCCTAGGGCTTAGCTGGGCACAGTCCACACAGCAGCTCTAATGGACCAGGGTTGGGTGCCCGCAGTTCTTCTGGGCTCCAGTCACGTGCCCGTGGCTCAGCCAGTCTGGGGGCTCCGGGGATGGCCCCCGCCCCACAGCTGCACTGGGTATATTCCCTGGGCTGAGGCCCTCTACCTGGGTCCCTGGCCTGCCCCACCAGTTGGATGGAGATCATCTGGCCTGATGAAACCCAGACGATATCCCCCTGCCTTGGATTAGAGCAGGTAGTGCTGACGATCTCCAAGTAGCCTTTGGGGTCCACCCCGGGTCTTAAAGAATCATCCCACTGTCCCATCTCATAAACTCTGAGAAGTCCCATGGCCTCCCTTCACTCCTTCCTGTCTCCGTCCCCTTCAGTTCCAGCTGGGGTGGGGTGGCCACAGTCAAGCCAGTCTGCTCATCAAATGCTCGTTCAGCCACGCCTTTAGTACTCTCTGCAGAACAAGTGTTCCCATTTTTTTGCACTATGGGAAGGCTGAGAATTTTCCAAAATGTTAGGTTCTGTTTCCCTTTGGATTAGTCATTCCATATTTAAGTCATTTCTCTGTTTTCAGATTGGACAGTGAGCTTTCAAAGGAAGGCAAGCTGCACCTTCACCAAACATCCAATTTCACGCTCACACACTCGAGCTTCTACAAAACACTAGAAGAACATGAACCTGGGGTGGCCACGTTCTTTGCCGTTTTCCAACAAAGAGGGCCTTTCTTCCTCACTTCTGTTCTGCAACCTCATCAGAATGACCTTTACCATCCACACCTTTACCAACATTCTGCTCACGACCCCTTAGGCCTTCCCTGGGAAGACCGAGGTTCTCCTCTTTAAATTCTGGGTCCTTGTCACTCACCTCCAAACTCTTCCAGCCTCTACTCCCAACAGGGTTCCAAAGCTGCTTCCACATTTTTAAGTATTTGTTACAGCAGCACCCCAACTATTTGTTAGCAATTTCCTGTCTTAGTCTGTTCAGGCCCCCATGACAAAATACCATAGGCTGGAAGAGCTTATGAAACACAAACATTGATTTCACTCACTCATTTCCAGCACTGGGGGCTGGAAGTCAAAGATGAGGATACGAGCATGGTCAAGTGGGGGCCCTCTTTGGAATTTCAGACTTCTGGCTGTATCTTCACATGGCAAAAGTCTCTCTCAGACTTCTTTTATGAGGGCACAGTCTCATTCATTAGGGTTCAGCCCTTATGATTTAATCAGTGTCCAAAGGCCTCTCCTCCTAATACCAGCACATGGGCCAAAGTCAGCGAAGAACTTCACCAAAGGCAGTTGCCAAGGGTGTGCTGGGCCTCTTCCCAAGGGCCACCGGGCTTCAGAGGAAAGCAGTCATTTGCATTGGTCCATCCAAGGTGAGCCTCTGGATAAATTGAATTCATAATCACAACCTCACCAGAAATGTCACTTATAAGGTAAAAGGCAACTGATCAGATTCAGACATCCAGACTTAGAGAAGAAAGCTCAAATGGACCGGGCAGAAAATGGCCTGGGGCATCGCCTAACATGTGGAAGTTCACACCCTCACAGAGCAGCAAACAGGTCACTTCCCCAGAGAAATAGGGGCACCTTCCATTTGGCTCCCTGAATCAAAGACAGTAAAAACCTTTCCAGAACAATGAAAACAAGGCAGCATATCTCTCGTTGAAGTGTGAATAAAAGGTAGAACAGACAAAAGGAACACACACAGTAACAGATAACATGAATACACACAGTAAAACCACAGAGACCTGAGCTTGAGCAAACAGTACTGTTAAAAAGGCTTCTCCCTAGGCTTCTGTTTGGAATTTCATCCGGAACCAGGGTGGATAGTTAAAGGGAGTCATACTGTATACACACATCTTGTTGATAATTTAATTGCATAAATATTGGGTAAGCTTTTGTCTGATTTCCACTGTTTGTGATAGTGAAAATGTTTTAAAATTTTAACTGGGCCACAAATGAGATTCGTGATCTCAATACCAAAAGAACAAGGAAGACTGTGCTAATGTACTAAAGCCACTGAATTGTACACGGAGAAACGGTAATGATGGTAAATTCTGTTATGTGTGTTTTATCACAATATAAAAACTAATTTTTTAAAAAGAGAGAGGAAAAAAAAAGGACAATAAGATTTCTGGGTGCAGGGAGGAGTAGGGAGCAGCAAAACACCCGAACTCCTCCACTTTTAAAAGCGCAGAAACCCCCACCACCCCCAGTTCACACATTTCATGGAACCGGGAGGCACAGACAATGGGCAAACGCCAAGAATCCGTCGGACCAGAAGCCACGAGGGCGTAGCAGGGCGGCAGGAAGGGTCCCAGGCGTCCCCGGGGCGCACCGACCGGGATCCAGCCCCTCGGGAGCCGGCCCGATGCCGCGTGGGGAGTGCGGTGCGCGGACCCGAGGGGACGCAGGACCGAACCCGAGCGGGGATTTGGAGGTGCAGAGGGCGGAAGCGGCCCAGGCGGCCGCGCGCCGAGGCCTAGCCAGGGGAAGTGGCACGGCGGCGCCAGGAGAGGGCGCCCGAGAGACGGCGCCAGGGCTCAGAGCGGATCTCTTCCAGGACCCGCCCCCGCCCCTGGGGCCCCGCCCCGGAGACCCCGCCCCTCGCCCCTGTAGGGTCCCGGCACCGAGATGGGGGTTAGAAAACCCAAGTCGATCCCACCCAGTGAAGCATTTTTGCACGCCAGTGTGGACTCGGAGGCTGGCACATATGCCGCGACTGTCAGCGGTTCCATTCGATGCTCACAGGGTCACTGGTGTGGCCGCGGGCAGCCCCTCCCACGCCTTCCCGCCGGTTCCCCCAAGCTCAGCGCCCCATCGCCGCACGAGCTGGCGTGTGAGTTCCCCCTCCCACGGGACGTTCCTGCGAGATCAGACGCTTCCCCTGGGCCTCAGGTGGGCAGGGACGGCTCCCACAAACTCCAGGCCCTGGCCCAACGCAGCTTCTAGCTCAGACAGATGCCTGGTTGGCCTCTTTGGAGTGGTCGCAACCAGGACACCAATACTTTCGAAGGCACAGCGCCGCCCGCCGTCACAGGCCCACAGAGACCTCAGTGCCAGCCCTGTAACGACTTCTTCGTGTTCTTTTTAGTCGCAGGGCAGTGGCTGAGCGCTTCTCCCTTGATGGGGTACGCTGTTGCCAAAAGTCACAACAGGGGTGTGATGTTGTTGACGGCGTCATGAAGAATATATATAAATATTTTCATTTGTATTTGCATCACACACTTAAGCTCATCATTTCTAAATGTACAGTTCAGTAGCGTTACATTTTGTGCAGCCAGGGGCCATGAAACACTAACTCTACATCTGCCCTCCCCCAGCCCCTAGCCCCCACCCTCCTACATTCTATCCCTATGACTTTGACTACTTTAGGAATCTCATTAAAAAATGGAATCATGTCCTTTTGTAACTGGCTTTGGAGAATATGTCTTTTTCAAGGCTCTTTATATTCCAAACTAAATAGTTTAATTACAGTGGAAATTACAGTTTAAGGCTTGCCTGTAAACTGGATTATAACTATAGATCAGATTGGAAATAAAACACTTTTCTCTCCAAGTAAAAAGGAGAAAAATAAATTTTCAAATACAAGGAAGAAGAAACAAAGAAAAAGCAACAAAAGCCCAACAGGTGTTTTTGGAGTTAAATTCTGTAACATTGGAAATGAACAAAGTTGTGTGTTTCTCCTCAGTGGTGGTCACAGGGAGCAGAATTGGGGGACAGAGGCATGACAACTTTTAATCCACTCAAATTTCAGATATTTGCACCCAAACTTTGTAGGTATCCCTTGTTAATTCTGTTGTTGGTGTGGGAATAAAGACCTATGGATGAGCTGCAAAGGTGTGAGAATTACTGATGAAGGTGATACCAAAAAAGTCCTCCTCCAGCCAAAAGTCAACCGAAGCCTTGTGGGGATGAGGAACAGAACAGAGGCAGTCCTAGTGGGGAGCTTCGAAGTTAAGGCTTCAGTGTCTTTATAGATACAGAGCTCTTCAGATTCCCTGTTTCCTCTCAGGCTCATTTGGTTAATTTGTGTTTCTCTAGGAGTCTGTCCATTTCATCTAAATTTTCACATCCGTTGGGATCAAACTGTCAGCACGTCTGTCCTCTTTGGGTAACATCTGTGGGTTGAGATGCTGGCTTCTTGTCATTGTTCAGTTGGATTCCTGCCACTCAGACCTTCCCTCCACCAGCCACACCCCCACCGCCCTGACTTCTGGACTGCGGACCACTCCATCTTATGCTTACTCAGTTCCCAAGCCTTGGAGCTGGCTTTGACTCCTCCCAGCCTTCACCGGCTTCCACCGCAGCCACCCAAAAACTCTGCGAGCCCTGCCTGCTGGTTGCCTAGACACTCTATCACCTGGATGCCCGCAAGGCCTGTTACATGATACCCCTGCTACCTCCCTGGCCCATAACACTCTCAGAACATCGACCAGAGGGAGTGTGCCATCATCTAAATCACTTTAGATGAAAGTGATTTTCACTTTCACTCCAAAAATCATAATTAACATGCTCTGTATTTCATTCACAGTGAAAGCTAGCATGCTGAAAATGGCCTCCGGGACACACAGAGACACTGGCCCTCATCCCCTCTGTCATCTTCCGTTTCCTAGGCCCCAGTAGTTCACTCTGCTCCAGCTGCCCTGGTCTCCTTACTGTGCCTCTAACATACCAGGCACCCTCCTGCCCCAGGGCCTTTGCACTACTTCTGGGCTCTCTCCTGGGATGCCCCCCTCAGATCTCCACATGCCCCCCTCCCTCCTTTGAGACTTTGCTCACACGTCCCTTTCCCAGAAAGTCCCACCATGATGCCCTATGAAAACATATATCCATTCTCTCCCCACCCTCTACATTCCATTTGTCCTTTTTTATTTTATTTTTTATTTTTATCTTTTTCCATTTGTTCTCTTGTTCCCATCCTCCATCCTGCTTGACACAACTTATTTGTTGCATCTAATGTTCATGTTGTTCATGTTGTATTATTCCTGCCCCCAATGAGCAGGGCAGCTGCAAGAGGACTCTGTTCACCCGGAGCCAAGAACAGGGCCTGGCCACAAGACGCACTTGCTGGGTAGCTGTGGAATGAATGGCTAGAACTTTTCAAGAAGATGACCTCATTCAAGCGTTACAGCAAGTAAATGTTCTCCCTATGTTTCCAATGAGGACATGCACTCTAGAGATGGTGGCTAACTTGCTCAAGGTCCTGGAGGGTAACTGCAGAAGACAGATGCATTAGGAGTGTGGGCCCGAGGTAAGCATTTGCAGACTAGACTGACGAGGAACTTTTAGCTGGTTTGGGGTATCAGCCAC